GTGCCATGGGCCACAATTTCCTTGGGTCGTAGATTTCTTGAAGATATGGCGTTTGCGCCATGCCACTGTTGCGCGGCGGGACACCTTCCTGTGGACGACAGCCAACTTCATCTGGGGTCCACGACTTCCCCGCGTCGGATTCCTCATGTTTCGTCGATGTCGGTCCCTGCGCCTTTTCTTCTTCGGTTCTCTGACCGGCATTACTTCGGCGTCTTGTGCGGGTACCTCTCGTAATTCTGCCGCCTCAGGTTTCCTGTTCGCTGAGGCCGGATCTTCTTCTTCTTCACGTGCCTCCATTACTAGGCAGGCCATCGTCGCTCCGACCGGTATTGCTATGGGGACCTCTTCTTGTTGTGCCACAGGTTTCGTGTCCACGGAAGTCTTTTCAAGCCAGGCACTGAAGTCGGCGTCTGCTTTTTCTCGCCAGGCCCTCATCTCTTTCAGCATTTCTTCCTTCTCCGCCTTCCTTTCTTCCCTCTCCGTTTTCATGCTGGCGTCCATCCTAGCCAGCATTTCCATCATCTGCTGCATCACCATCTTGTCGCAGTAGAATACTCGATGCACAACAATTCAATTTGTGGCGTGTTTAAGTTCGTAACACTATTATATTTAAGCATCCTGTTGCCCTCCATACGATAAATGATATAAACTCTGTCTCAAGTGCAAACAATATATTTTGTGTCTTTGATCTTGCTCCCCTTCGGCCGTCTGAGGCCAAAACATGTAGTGTAGGGAGCAAGATCAAAGACACAAAATATATTGTTTGCACTTGAGACGGAGTTTATATCATTTATCGTATGGAGTGCAACAGGATGCTTAAATATAATAGTGTTACGAACTTAAACACGCCACAAATTGAATTGTTGTGCATCGAGTATTCTACTGCGACAAGATGGTGATGCAGCAGATGATGGAAATGCTGGCTNTAATTGGTTTATTTAACAATCTTCAAATAACGGCTACAATTAATTATCACAATATTACGGGTTTCCACACTTTACAAACCCTACAACAAAGTCTCTTAAGACAATCTTCACTTGTCTTCACGTACTAATAACACGGGAGCTATACAAGTCTCCCTGAATTACACACTTTCACTCGTAACACGCCACTGGCTAGATTCCAACTCTGCTCGCAAGATGCTGCCGTGAGAACTGTTGATAACACACTCGGCGACTGTCACAGTACAACTGACTGTGAATAGCCTTCGCTGCTCCTCATGTAGCCTCGATCGGACAATACTGAAAACGGCCACGTAATAAGCACCCTTGTTGCCTGGCGCTGTGTTGCTAGCAACGCTAGC